TGAATCTTCAGCACTCCTGTGCAAAGCCAGGTATGGCTGCATGTATTCCTGTAACCAAGATCTACAGAGAGCCCAGACAGCAGGACCCCTGAGGCTTGCTGGCTTCTAGCTTCACTGAGAGACCCTGTCTCAGGAGACCAAGGCTGTGAGTGCCGGAGTAGAACTCCCGGCACCCTGTTCTAGCCTCTGTATGTGTGTGCGTGCACTTACACATGTGTATATACAACACACACACTCACCACACACAAGGGAGAGGGAGGGAGAGAGAGAGCGCGTTCACTATACTTACAAGCCCAGATACAAATAACGCTTCCAAGCGAATGCCGATAACATTATCAAACATCATTAACTTAGAAAATAGCCTGAGAAATGGGCTGGGTGGTAAAAAGCGCTGCATTTCCTCTTGACTTTATGAGCCAGGTAGTCATTTCATGCGGGCTCCTTGGTTGGTGAGCCAACCCCTGAGGAAGGATTTCTTCCAAGGGTGCATATGCAGGGTTACCAGGGCTGTGGCAGCCCTCATGGAAATCCAAGGGCAGAAACTTGGTAGAGTAGCATTTTGACCTCCAGGGGGCGTGGTCTCTTGGCTGAGCACTGCCACAGTGCAAGGGCTGTCCCTTTCCCCTGCCCTCCCCTCCCCTGCCCTCCCCTCCCCTGCCCTCCCCTCCCTTCCTCTCCCCTCCCCTGCCCTGCCCTCCCCTGCCCTGCCCTCCTCTCCCGAGTGTTCTTTGTTCTCTAATTCTTCCCAGCTCGCTTCTCCGTGTCTTCTCTGTGTCTGCTCCTCTCGGTCATCATTCTCCACCTTTCAGATTCCCCGTGGCCCCTCTGGCTCCCCTACATTTTTATAGCCTGGTGCCTTTCTCTACCACTGCCGGCTGGCTGACTCTTGACGTGTTTCCTCTGTGTAAGTGGCACCGGCGTGTGAGGATCCTCTTCAGTTTCTGGCTCATGGCTCCGAGTCTCAGGGTCCCATGTGTGACAGAGATGGACTGAAAAGTGTAGCCTTTTGCACGGGGCCTTTGCAGGCCTTACTCGCCGTGAGTAGAATTGCCACAAGTGAACGGTCTGCTCTTTTGTGCCTCTGGTGTGATGGAAGCTAAAAGGGCAGAAGAGTCTAGGCCCCAAATCCCCTTTGAGACCGCTCTAACCCTCTACAGTGACCTGAGTGTTTCCCGCTAGTCTCCACCCCCCCCACACACACAGTTTCCACTGTGTGCCACATGGGCGCTGGAGGCCCCAACCCACAGGAGAGAAGTATTTACCTCAGAACAGCTGCTTCCTTTGCCCCCAAAGCCACCTCAGCTGTTTCTAATTGCCTTGCTTTTACTGTGTACAGAACGCCGCTGGAAAAACAGTGTCGCAGATCTCTGAATTATCTGCAGAATCTGTGCCGCGCTGGCTCCACGGCACCATTTGTAGGTGGTTGAGCCCAGCTCAGGGTATGGAGGGTGGGTGGGTGGCTTAGGGTGGGGCATTTCTGTGGTAGGGATGTTTGCATCCCTCAGGGCACATGCATCAGCAAGTGTCAGTGGAGGAAAGTAGGCCATTGGTTCCCACGGCGGGTCAAGAACTGGCCCGCAAGGAGGCTCCAGGTGTCAACCTGTGCTAGCCGAGCACAGAGCGTGGCCAAACGCAGAGCAGCTCGGTGCCCTTCCCCACCCTACATCTGGCGGGACAAGCTGGGAGGAGGCAGTTAGGGCTTTGTTCTCTTTTAGAATCATGTAAATTGGCCATGAAGCCAGGGATGGTGTGATTGAATTATGAGAAGGCTGGAGCATTAAATAAAAATCCAGGAGAGAGGGGGCTTGGCTCAAGGTGGGCGATATGAAGGGGGGCAGTAGAGGAGGCAGCGGTTCTTCGCTAACAATTCACCTCACTTAATGGTGGGGATGGACTCCTTGTGTGTGCACGGTGCAATTGTGTGTGCTCTGTGCAACTGTGTGTGCTCGCTTGTTGTAACTCTCAGCAAGGAAGTTTTCCCTGGAAAACAGCAATTCCTGCTGGAGGGAATTTCCGGATTCCTTAAGTGTCAGTGGGCACCGCCAGCAGGGTGGGCGGAGCCTCTCAGTGTGTGTCTTGGTTTCTTGCTGGTGGCTCTTCTGTGTGTCCTTGTCTTCCTCTCTTGTTCACATTCATCAGTCAAGCAGGCTGACTCTGTCTTCTGATGAGGATGTCAAATCCTGGCTTATTCCGGATCTGTGGGGACCATGTCAGGCGCCAGTGACAGACTCCCTGTCAGAGGACGGACACAGAGAAGCCACTGCATTCACCTGTCCGTCAATCATCCCCACTCTCTTGAGCTGGTGCCTGCTCCCTCCTGCCTCCGGCTTTCTTGAGGCTTCTCCCAGAGGTGTCCCAGTGAGCGTTCACCAACCAGTTCCCAGGAGGCAGAGAAGTCCCGATTTGCTTACTGATTTCCATCTTATTTGTGTCATGGCTGATTTGGGGTTAAGAGGGCATCAGTAGATCCCCAGCTGGGAGGGCATTTGCTTTAACACTCTGTGTTCATTGCATTTCTGTTCCTGGGCTAGAACATCCCAACCGAAATCAGCTTAGGAGAGGATGGCTTTATTTTGACTGACAGTTCTGGCCGGTGATGCAGCCAGTCATGGTAGGGGAAGGTGTGGCTAGGGCAGCACTGGGCAGGCCTGGCCATCAGGAAGCAGAGAGAGGAGAGGACGTGTGTCCAAGCCATAAAACCTAGGTGGCATCCTAGTGACCTGACCTGTCTCCTCTAGGAAGGCTCTGCCTTCTAAAGGTCCCATAGCATCTGCAAACAGCGCCATCAATTGGGGGCCAAGTGTTTAAGCACATGAACATTTCATATTCAAACCCAATGCTCCCTCTGTAGCATTTTACCACACAGATGTTTCAACCACCAATAGCCACAAGAAGTTAGGTAAGAGTATAAAGACATCGAGATGAGTGGGCGTAGGAGGTGGATAATCGGGTAAATGCACTATGAACATTTGTGTTCAAATCCCCAGAACCTGTGAAAAAAACCACCACAGGCTGTGTGTGACATTTCCCACAGCTGTGGAGGCTGACATCCAAGAGGAAGGCGCCGACAGGCCGAGTCTTTCCTGGAACGTCTCTTCCTGGGGTGCCGGGCGGCCACCTGCCTGCTTTGTCCTCATCCGGTTCTGTGCATGAATTTCTGATGTTTCCCCCCTGTTCTTATCAGAGCACGACCGGGTAAGGACACTCTTGACCTCATTTAACCTCAATTACTGCTTAAGTGGCCCTTGTTCCAAATAAAGGCACACGGGGCTTCCATGCGGGGACTTTCTCCAGGACACGCGTGGGAGGAGTAGCTCATTCACCGGGAGAAGCAGACACAGACACCTGGCCCGTGCCCATGCGTGCATGTTAGGTGTTGGTGTGTGCTTCGGCCGGGAACCACAGCCTGGCCTTAGGTCGTTCATTGTTCTTCGCTATTTCCCCCCTTCCACCGGGCAGAATGTTCTAGTTTGCCTTCTGTGGCTGACTGACCGAAAGCAACTTGGCAGAGCAAAGGGTTCCCCTGGCTTTACAACTGCAGGCTGCAGTCCAGGGCTCTGGGGAAGTCAGGGCGGGGACTTGAATGAAGCAGCTGGTCACGTGACATTCAGACCTGGGCAGAGACCTGCGCGCACGCGCATGCCTACTGTTCCTCTTGCTCCCTCCTGTCAATCAGTCCAGGGTCCAGACCGTGAGACGATGCTGCTGCGCACGGTCAGGGTGGATCTACCCACCTCAATTAACCCACTTTAGAAAAAACCGTCAGAGGCATGGTCACAGCCTGAGCCAACCCAGCCAGACAGCTGAGACCCTCTTGAGATTCAGCGACACCCCTTCCACGGGCGATCCCACAGTGTGAAACTGACGATCAAAGCTAACCTTCACACTGGTCACACTGACTTAGTATGTCTCCAGCTCTAAATGCGTTCGTTTTATGTTTAATACAATATGAGTGATAGCATCTTGGGTTAAGTAAAACATTACTGGAATTGCTTCCGTCTGCTCCTTACGTCATGGCACGGCCCCTGGAGAGTAGACAGGGCCACCCCTCCTGTGGAAAGGCCTTTCTTGGCCCCTTGCTTAGCCCCATTACCTATCACCCGTTCCCTCCCATCCTCCTCCATCAGTCTTTGCTGCTGGACAGAGGCAAGGGGCCTTCCAGGTGATGCTGTGACTGGCAAGGAGGGGCAGTGTCTAGTACATCCCGATCCCGTGCTCACCGAATGTGTTTTACGACAAAGCAAACAGATATAAAAGGGTCCCCATCTTGAGTTGCTAAGTCCAAAGCCCCATTTTACCTTCCTGCCAACTCCCTGGAAGGAGCTAAGGGGTGAAGAGGGAAAAGAAAGTTTTATCTAGGGACCAACAAGACGGCTCAGTTGTCGAAGAGCTTGCTGCCAAGTGTGGGGACCCCAGAAACCCACGTAAACGCCAGTTGGGCTTGTAGGAGGGCCCATAATCCTCCCTGAGACGTAAAACCGAATTAGAGACCCCTTTCTCTGTTCTTTCCAAGGTTTCCCTCCTGTAAGTAATCCAGTGGATGCCCCCTCCCCCCTGTGTTACCCCACCCCTCCCCCTCCCCGTGTTCCCCCACCCCTCCCCCTCCCCGTGTTCCCCCACCCCGCCCCTCCCCCCTGTGTTACCCCACCCCTTCCCCGTGTTTCTCCACCCCACCCCCTCCCCGTGTTCCCCCACCCCTCCCCCTCCCCCGTGTTCCCCCACCTCGCCCCCTCCCCGTGTTTTTCCACCCCGCCCCCTCCCCCATGTTCCCCCACCCCGCCCCCTCCCCCGTGTTCCCCCACCCCTCCCCCTCCCCCGTGTTCCCCCACCCCGCCCCCTCCCCGTGTTTTCCCACCCCTCCCCCTCCCCCGTGTTCCCCTCCCCCCTCCCCCGTGTTTCCCCACCCCGCCCCCTCCCCCGTGTTACCCCCACCCCTCCCCCTCCCCCGTGTTCTCCCACCCCGCCCCCTCCCAGTCATCCCTTTCAGGGCTCTCACTCACCGGCTTCGTACAAGATCCTTTTTGAGGTTTATGATTTCTCTGTCTATGTACCTCATGTTCTTCACTGTCTTATCTGACACCTGATGGGCAGACAGGAGACGGGACATTAATACCGTTGCTCCAGGTGGAGTCGATCTCCACCAGTGCGTGCATGCCCCTTCCCCCACAGATAAATAAGTAAACAATATAACTTAAAATTGAGAAAAAGAAAGATCAAGGGGCTTAAACATTATTCCTATTTGTGTCATTGGCAGTTGGTTTTAACAACTGAATCCATTCCCTGCCAGTGGCTCTGACACCTTTATGCTCACACAGCGGGATCTAAGGGGTGGAGCATCCTGGGAATTTTTGCGGCTTTCTCTCTCTTTCACTTTTTTTTCTCCCAGTCTTAACTAGACAGTGGGTGAAACGTACGATCTGCAGCTTCATTAGACAGAGGTTGGTACTGGGTCAACATTTAAAAAGGTGATTTGATTAATTACACTTTATATGAAAGCTGCCTTTCTTAAGAGAAATACTTTCCTGCTTTGAAATTACTTCCCCCTTAGGATCTTTTCTAAGTAAAAAATGCTAAGGAATGGTGGGAAAATTTGCCCCCTCAGATAAAACCGGTGGGAAACTCGAGGTGGAACCCTTTGAGAAGGACCGTTCATCCAGGCCTTCCAAGTTTGTTAGAAGGGAGTCTTCCCCTAGATCTAACATCTGCAGTTAAGCATCCCGCCAGAGACTTTTCCTGACAGATGCGGAGGGTCCTCGGCAAGATCATTCATTTGCTTATGAAGGCAAAACGGCCTGCACATGTCCGATGGGGTATGCCCTTCGGTATGCTGGGAATATGTTTCTCTTATTGGTTCATGAACAAAACTGTTTTAGGTCAATGGACAGGCAGGATGTAGCCAGGCAGGAAGTACAGGCAGGGCTACCAGACTAGGAGAATTCTGGGAAAAGGAAGACAGAGGTGACGCTATGCATCTGCCAAGGAAGAAGGACCTGAGCATCGCCGCTAAGCCAAGACCACGTGGAGATGCACAGATTAATAGAAATGGGTTGACAATTAAGAGAGCTACCCAATATGAGACCAGAGTCATCGGCTAAATAGTTTATAATTAGTATAAGCCTCTGTGTGTTTATTTGGGACTAAACAGCTGTGGGACCCGGCGGGACAGAAACTCCTGGCTACCCATCTCACAAGAGAAGACAGACTAAACAGTTCTGAAGTATCCAGAGAGCAGAATGCTAAACAGCAATTAGAAGGGACATACTTCCTGTGTGGTGGTGAAGGCACCTTCAGTGATCTGTGGGGAGGCTGTGCATTCTTTAAGGGGGAGGATGAGTTAGAAAGCACTATCTACAACACGATTCTGTTTTTACTTTTAAATATGCAAATAGACTTTTCAAAGACAAGGAAGGAAGGACATGGCTCCCAGACATAGTGCTTCCTCCGGGGGTGGGGCTGTGGCAGGCTGTATTTCTTACTTCTTAGCTGATGTAGATATCATATGTGTCCTGGGATCAAACACAGGCCCTCTTGCCTGCAAAGTGTTTTATGCACTGAGCCAGCACCCCAGCTACCACAGGGAAACCTTTTCCTGGGGATGGGGCGACACTTGGTAAGCAACCATGACAACGTTCAACTTTGAAGTGTGTTTTTAAATTTCCACTTTATTCTTAAATTACATGTACACACATCACTCTGTGCAGGTGAGTGTGGGTGCCCACAGAGCCCAGAAAGAGGTGGATGCTGGGCCGCCTGGAGCTGGAGCTACAGGAGGTTGTGAGCCAACCAGCGTGGGTGCTGGGAACTGAATTTGGGTTTTGTGGAAGGGCAGACACACTCCTGATCACGGGGTCATTTGTCCTTGGGCCAATGAGTGAAACGGCACCACACTGGCTGGGTTAGAGGATTTACAGCCCTGTCATCAGCCTAACATATCTAGGAGACAAGCTGGGCCTTGTCTGCCAGCACTTGGGGGTCCTCAGGGACCACTCTCACTGAGACCTGTTATTAATTAATTAATTTTTATGACAGTCACAATCCAGGGACCACTCTCACTGAGACCTGTTATTAATTAATTAATTTTTATGACAGTCACAATCCAGGGACCACTCTCACTGAGACCTGTTATCTATCTATCTATCTATCTATCTATCTATCTATCTATCTATCTATCTGTCATTCTATTTGTCTGTCTGTCTGTCTATCTGACTGTCTATCTATCTATGAATGAGAAGCCTCAAAAGCACAGCCCCAGTCCCAGGGGCAGCACAGATGATGGCATTTCAAGAGACCTTAATGGGGCTGAGCTGTGGCTCCCTGATAGGACACTTGCTCTACTACTTATGTAAGAGTGCTCTAGGGGCCTGCGCAGTGGTTAAAAGGCTTTTGCACAAGCTTAAGGACCTGAGTTCAGATCCCCAGGACCCACATAATTGCCAGGTGGATGTGGAAACCTTCTTGTGAGTCCAGCCTGGAAAGGTGGAGCTGTGGGGTCCCCAGGGCAAACTGGACAGCAAGACTGGCCACATTGATGAGCTATGGGTTTGATGGAAAGACGTTGTCTTATTGAATAACAGTAGAAGAACAATGGAGGGTCGTTCCTGACATCAGCCTTGGGCTTACACACACACACACACACACACACACACACACACACACACACACACGTGCATGTGTGCCTCAATATACAAGTAACCAGACATGTGCAAAAGGCATACCCACATGCACACCATGTGCCATACATCATACATACATACATGAAAATGAAAATAAGATTAAAAAGTACAGTGAATGCAATTGCATGTGATACAGGGCACTTGTTTGTGGTGGTAACTGTCTGTCTGTGTTACTGGCTTATATGCTTGCTGTATTGCATTTTCATGATTTTGAGACTGCCCTTATTTATTTGAAAAGTTCGCTCTAAGCCAGGCTGCTGGTGTGCCGGCAGCAGCCTGGTGTGTCCCATGTTTATCCAGCCTCTAGACTGTATTGCTTTCTTCTGTGATGGATTTAATCTAGGGTGGTTTTGTTCACTGAGTTCTGGGCAACAGGGATCTCTCTCTCTCTCTCTCTCTCTCTCTCTCTCTCTCTCTCTCATATGCACACACATACATACAGGCTGTGCCTCTTAGCTTTCTATTCGTGCAGTCTACAATGTCTGTACAGTGACTGTGAGATCCACTGATACATCCCTCAGGCGTCCCCATTGGAGAGCACTGCGTAGCTGTTTGCACCCGGCTCCCAGCAATCTCACTGCCATCCAAAGAGATGAGGCAGCTCCCATGAGCATGTCCCACAAGGCAATGTGACTCACCCTGCAGAAGCCTCAGTGCCCAGCAAACAGGCGTCATGGGGCCAAGCCGAGGTTTGCCCAGAAGGTTAAGTGGTGGGGTTCCCTTGCCAATGCTTCATGTTGCTGTAGATGTTTGTTTATTGGTGTGAAAGCATAGCAGTGAGCTATAATTTCAAGGGAAAACGTCATAAGAAAATTAGATCATAGAGAGTGCTCATATTTCCTTTGTCTAGAAATTTCTAACAATTTTCTATCATCTCATACAGATGATTTTTTAAAAAATCAATGGCAAAGAATTTGTCATAATAGAATAATCTGGAAGTAAATACAAATAAATCCACAATAGAGATGTCATATCAGGGTGTCTGAACTGTAAGTTAATTAGACAATCGCTTTGACTTGGGTTGTTTCTTTTCCTAATTTTCCGTAATTTGCATATATTAATTCTAATTGAATAATGGTGTCTTTCATGTCTGTAGAACGATTTTTGACTAATTCTCTTGATGTGGAAAAATATAAATGTTTAATGTTGATTTCAGTTGGGCCGTCTGAGGTCCTGGAATGATGGGAGTTTTACGCATGGCATCAGTGGACTCCGGAAGGGATGTAAAAGCTCAGTCCGTAGTCCCACAGAAGGAGTGTAGTCTTGGAGAGCGGTTACAGGGCGTCAGGAGATCTGGGAAGTCAAGCTGGGACAGCTAAAGAACCCCTGCATCCCGGTCACCCTTAGGGCAGGACTAAGGGAAAGGGCCCTGAGAAACCCTGGCGCTGGCCAGCCTGGCATCGCTGGACTCCTGGGAAGGCGGGTTCAGTTGCAGGTGCTGAGAGACGGGCGGGGAAACCATGGGCCTTCCTCTCATCTGACAGCCAATTTCCTGTCTGAACTTTCTACTGTTTGGATCTAGAGTCCTGGGGGGGGGGGGGAATGTAGTTTTTAATGATGGGTTCCTATGTGGTGGTGTGTGTGTGTGTGTGTGTGTGTGTGTGTGTGTATGTGTGTGTGTGTTAGTCAGATTTCCAACACTACAACGAGCCCGGCGTGGCGGTCAGCTTGTGCAGAGACAAGGCTTGTTGTGACGTGCAGTCTTAGTCCACGAAGGAAGGCCTGGCCCGTGGCTGTGAGGCCGTGGGGAGGCAGGCAGCACAAATGGAGGGACACCGAAGGGCAAACGTCCTACCCCCTGATGGCTGCATGAAAGAGACAGTAAGGGAGACACCCCACGGCCTAAAGACCTCCCCGGGAGCCGTGGCTCTAGGGTATCTGCGACCTTCTTAGGCCTCCCTTCCTTGCAGGGAACTGCTCAGGGGTCCTACCCTGACAGCCACCACCTCCTCCATGAGACCAGCTAGGTGACTGGGACCCTCTTGCCTTGTGTCCTTGCATTCCATGTGAACACCGACACTGCGTCTTTTCACCCAGGGGACACAGCTGCCAAACGACTCCACACCAAAGAATGTGTTCTTCTTACAAAGTCGGAAAACATCATAGGGAGTCAGGGAGAGATCAAACAAACACACACACACAAACACACACACTCACACACACAAACACACACAAACACACACACAAACACAAACACACAAACACACACACACAAACACAAACATACACACACAAACACACACACAAACACACACAAACACACACACAAAACACACACACACAAACACACAAACACACAAACACACACACACACACACACACACACACACACACACACGGAGAGCGTAAGTACTGGCCGAAGCCCATGCCCCTCTGTGCCTTCCGGTTTGGGTCATGATTCTCAGCC